CATTCAATGCAAATAGAATCAACAAATAAGATAGAAAAAAAAAACAAGTACCGAACTTTCGAAGCCATAAATAAATTAAAAAAAAAAAATGCAAGAAATGAAATTGAAAATGAGAACAACAATTAAAGATATAAAATCACACACTGACAAGAATTGGGCAGGCAACGTGCATCACTCGTAACAGAAAATGTAATGTACATGAAAAGTCGTGAACGATGCGAAGTACCTGACAGGTTGACACTAAAATCACGCATGCAAAATGCAACATGATACAATGTATCCTACTGCTAATGCACTGGCACCGCATGTCGAAAAAAATAAAAGAAACAATAGTCTACAAGTCGTGTCGTAGCTGCCTAGATGATACAAGAAAAAAAACTACTGTACAGTCTGAACTCAGTCTGCTGCAACCGACGGCACTCTACGAACACCCTACTGGCACCAAAATCATACTCTACGAACACCCTACTGCTACCAAAATCATACACAGCAACAAGTAAAGCACGCACACAACCACTGAGTGTTTGACAATACTGAGACAAGACGAGACGACTCAGACTACAAAAAAAAGTACAACCGCTCAACATGACGACGTACAATGCGAGTAGGGGAGAAGCGGAGTGTTGGCCTCATCGGTCAACGACCCTTCTTCCCGTTCCCGCTATCTCCTCGTGCCCCCTTGAGTGCCGGATGTCTACCTCTTCCTCCCTCGTGAGGATGAAGAAGTCCGTGCAGCGGAGCGTCTAGATGCACGCGTCGGTGGGGGTCCTCGGGAAGGTGGGGGCTCATCGTAGTCGTCGTCGTTGTCACCATCGGAACCGCTTCTGCTCTCCTCCACTTCCCCCTCCTCGCCCTCGTAGTCCTCGTCCGCATCCCGCACAGCCGCATCCGTATCAGGATCATCCTCCTCAATGGTGACTGGGCCTCCTCCCTTCCTCAACACAACAACCCTCGCACTAGCCTCTGCAATGGTCTGCTCACGGCGAGATCCAGGCATCCCCAACCCCTCCGCCCCCGAACTCTCTCCAAGTGTTGCGCCTCCCTCTCCAGGCACGGGGCGTGGACGAGGGGGCACTCCACGCTTGCGTGAAGTCTGCTCCTGCACGGCATGCGTCGCTGCTCTCAAAGCGTACTCCAAGGTCTCGGTGGACACTCCTCTGCCACGACCTCGCTGAGGCTCACAACCTGAAGCCGGTACCTCCCTCGCCGCAGTCGTCCTAGCGCCTCCTCCTCCCAAGCTCGGCTGAAGGCATGCAGTGTGCTCCGTGACACAATGGGTGGAATCCAAATCTATATCTGTCCTCCCGAATATCGTCGTGTCACACACGTCCTGCTGAACTGCTGTCGTGTCACGAATCCTAGATCTCCCAGGCGTGTGTGGGGATCGAGAGCCTCTGCCTATGGGCGACGATGATGGATCACCTGCAGGTGCTCTGGGAGGAGGGGGTGGCATGTCTCCTGTGCGTGGCGCTGTCTCCGTCACGCCACCCGAAACCCCTAGAACATGTCCCGTGGTATGTCCTCCGGTGGAGGTAGACCCAGACCACACGGGCGACGCAGGACCCCATGTAACCGAAGGGATCGACTGCCATGGTGGATGCTCGAGCCTCCGGTCGAAGATGCGCCGGTCCAAGCGAGTAACATCGCGCACAACCTCTCTCGCCAACTCCTCTGCATCCAACGGACGACGGACCTCCTGCGGAGCAAAGTGGCTAGGAAGACGTGGGGGCACAACCACCGGCTCGGACCCCAAATCGGGTCTGAGCCAAGTGCAGGCCCGAGAACGGAACGACTGTACCCGTCGCTGTCTCCTGGACCTCGCGTCGTGAGTCTATAGCCCCCTCGACTCGCCGCTGTCGTGCCTGCACAGCCTCATCCACCGCCTGAGGCCGTCCCTCCACAGCAACGTCCGCTGCCTCTGCTCCACCCGGCATAGCCTCGGGTACCGGCTTTGCTGCCACTCCCTTCGCAACGTCCTTCCCCGCCACCACCCCACCCTGCACATAATCCCCTCCTATCTCTCGACGCCTGGCCTCCTTTACGGCCCGTGCGAACGCTTGAGCACGTGGGTCAGTCGATGCTAAAAGTCTAGCCCTCTCTCGCTCCATGATGTCGCATGCTGCATCTGGAGACTCAGTCCTCGTCCTCTCTCTCGCGGTCTGCATCGAAGTCTGTCCAGGCGCCTCGTCCCTCAATGGAACCCGGTCCGTCGATGTCGCCCCGCCGCAACTAGGTGGAAGGCCCATCGACAAATCTAAGTCTAAGTGGATCCCCATCTCCGAATCTGAAATCCCAAACCCCCTCGCCACACCCGGGATCACACGCGCTATGCCCGGACCGAGCTCCTCCGTGAGGAACTGCTGCATAAGGCGCTCGTCATCGCCCCCACGCTGCACCTCTGCTTGTGCGGCTATCTCCTCCTCCACTGCAGCTGCCGACGGTGCCTCCTCCTGCTCCACTGCTGCTGCCACCTCAACCTCCACTGCTGCTGCTCCTCCACAACAGAAAAATTTCCCAGAATTAAATAATCATTCTAGAGTAAAATTTACATTCTAAATTTCAAATTTTCATTCCATCTTTAAAAATGTCATTCCAATTTTAAAATTTTCCGTCTTACTTGAAAACTTTCCTTCCAAGAATGGGGTATCCCTTCTTATTTGAACTGCATGCTAGAGATGGAATGGAAGTCTGGATAAGTTCATGAAATATTTTAATTGGGCTGTCATTCTAAGTAAGGATATTCAGTCATAAATAGGTTAATCCAATCTAAATTAGACGGTATTTGTTGTAGTAGAATAAAAGTCTAATTAAAACATTTCATAAACTTGTCGAAACTTTCATTCCATCTTGAACAAATAGATGTAGTTGGAAGGGAAAACTCATATTTAGACGTGAACTTATCAAATTAAATTGGAAATTTTAGAATTGGACAAACATTGGAATGATAATTTACAAATATGAAGGATTTTTTTTTTATGGAATGTTTTTTTAACTTTCATTTCTCATGGGAATTCTTCTGTTGCACCTGCTCCTGCTGCTGCTGCCACCTGCCCCTCCACTGCTGCACCTCCTCCTGCCGCCGGTGGATCCTCCTCCAGCACTGATGCTGCTGCTATCTCCTCCACCGCGGCTGCGATCGTCCCGTCCGGCACCGCCGCTGGTGCCACTAAACTCTCCACTGTTGCTCCCGAAGGTGCCCCCTCCTCCTGCAATATCCCCGGGGAAGGTGATCATAACCTAAGCTGGCGGACTGCCACGCCTCTGTGGAGAAGGCCGTGCTGAGGCAAAGAGGACCCTAACTCCTCCCTGTCCGGCTGAAGTGGCGAGACGGGCAATGGTGGTGCAGGACTCGGAGCAGGAGGTGGCGGCATGGACGAATCCCGCCTCGTCGGAGTGGGGGTAGTCGCCTGCGCCTCTGGGCCGCCAGTGGAAGCGACCTCACCGAATGGGCCCCATAAGTCCTCGTCTCCCCCCAGCATCTCCCTCTCCACCCGGTCTGCCGCCCGTCGTGCAGTGTGTGCCCTCGTCTCCTCGGAGTCGGGATCCTCGTGCGTCTCGTCGATCTCCCGGGGAATGCGGAGCGCAGGGTCATCTGCCGCCTCGGGTATCGGCTCCTCGTCTGAGTCGTCCTCCCTAGGGTTGGGATGAAAAATGCAATTACGTCTATCGAAAACGGCATCAGCCGAGGGTGGTGCGGACGCCCCGATGGGATCCCGGGTAATAAGTGCAACCTGACGGGCAATCTCCTCCTCCGTCATCCCCCTGCGAGTCCTCGAGCGCACAGGCTCCAACTCGAGTCCTGCCTGGCAATCCCGCATGCCCTCGTCCCGCTGCCATGGCAGCACATAACCGCATCCGGCCCGCTGATACTCAGTCAACCGCACATTTGCGGTGATCTCAACGAGTTGCACGACCTTCTCGAAGGCCAACTGGTTGCGCTTCTTCGTGTGAATGCCCTCGTGGACTGCCCAGTTCCTCTCCGCTGGAGAGAGGCGCAAGACCACATGTGTATCACCCGAAGAGCGCAATGCTGCAACTCTGGCGCGCCCGACCCGACCTGAGACCACCAAGACGCGCACTCAATCGTCTCGCTGTCGTCGCTGCACGAGCGCCCACGAGCACGCCCCTCCGGTCCGCCCCAATCCCCGAACCTGCCCAGCTGACTGCCGACATGCAAGGATGTACTCCGCACCCTCCAACTCGAATCCAGTGTGCGTCATAATGTACCTTTTGGCTTGCCCCACAAGCCAAGCATCGTACCGCTCTACCTGCCCCGAAAAGTAGCGAACGTGTCGCCTGCGGGGGTTCAGTAAGAACTTCCCCAAAGGGGCGCATGCGACCGTGACACGGCGGACAAGATCCTGCGTCCACTCGATCATGAGGGACATGTACTGTCCTCCACGATCCATCCGCCTGAGCAACTCCATGACGGGCTGCATGATATGGACGATGGTGGCCACCCTGTGCCACCATGGATCCCATCTGATCTGTCGGCGCACCCAACGCGCCATCACGCACACATCGGCGGACCACGGGATGGAAGCAAAAGCCCGCGCGTCGTCCCCTCGCATCATGTCCTGCAGAGTGTCCTGCAGGGCCAACAGCCTCTCCAGCATGGAGTAAACAGACGCGAACCGCGTCTCACAAGAAAGAATAAGCCCCTTGTCGAGGCTGCGCGTCCTAAAAAAATGAAGGGCGGCCTGGTGGGTTTTGAAAAACACCACCAGCACACGAGCTCGTGTGATCACGTCCACAAACGCGTCGCAACTCGTCCCCATGTCTGACAACAGTTCGTTGCAGACATGAACGGAGCACGGGAGCCAAGTGATCCTCCTCAGTGCAGGAGGTATGGACGGCAGGTCAATGCCCTCGCAGCCCCCACATAGGCAGAAGCGGAGTCACTGCATATCGCATTGATCCGCTGCGGCCCGCCGAGGCTGAACTCGTGGAAGATGGTAACCCATCTCCGAAGGACGTGCACTGCATCGTCCGCCTCGCCCTCTCGATTGATCGTCGTATACACGACGACCCCTCGAGAGCCAGCAGCAAGGAAATTCATGATCGGTCTCCCGTCTCGTGATTTCCTCCCATCGGAGAGGAGGGTGGCACCAGTCACCCAGAATGGCTGCCTCACCTCCTCCAACTCCTCCACCAACTCCGCACGGTGGGTCTCCACCGCCCGCATACTCGCAATCTCGCGGTGGTTAGGGAGCACCGCGCGCGGGGAACTGCCAGGCTGCTCAAGAAGCACCTGTTGATATGCCTTTCACGCCTGGTTGCAGAAGGCATTGAAGGAGACCCCGCTGGAATACAGCCAGCGAAGGAATGCCTTCTTGTGGCGAGCAACCCACTCGCCACCGTAGACATCAGTCATCTTCTGCTGGCGAAGCCTCTTCCCTGCTGGGGTGGCAGCCAGATCACTTCCTCCTTCCTTCCTCTTGGAAGACCCCTCCGTTGCAGCTCCCTTGCCTTCTCGCCTCCACCAGTCCTCCTACCTCTCCCCAGTGCCCGGATAAAACTCTGGCACGTCCTCCCGTTCCAGGACTCCCTCCTCACCCGGGCCACACGCCTCGCGATCTACGTGGATCACGCCCTCCTCCGTCTCACCGCCTCCACCACCCAAAGTGGGGTCTGCCGCACCATGCCCACCATCTCCCCCGACCCCTCCCTCCGCCGGACGCCGCCCCGCCTCTCCTCCCCTTGCACCACCCGTGCCGGGCACATCGAGTCCGCGCTCCGCTGCATACCAGGCAACCCTCTCCATCTGATCGGCCTCGAACTTCTGTTGAGTCCATCAAACAATCTCGTACAATGCCTCGTCGCTGACGTCCTTGCAGTAGTTTGTCTGCGAGAAGTGCCTCGTGGCCTGAAATTGGGTCCCTTGGAAAACTTTGTTGCAAAACGTGCAATGGAGCATCATGACCCCCTTGCTATCGACCTTCTGGCCGACAACCAGGTACCGATAGACAGGGGAGCGGGCCCTGAATGTGTCCTGCACATGGTCCGCGGCAGCCTCATGCTGACGGCACTGTGCCCTCCCCATGTCGACCACCCTGGCGAGACAACCCTTGCTGACTCCCCCCGACCTCACCACCGATGCCTAAGCCCCCGTTAACCGCTGCTCGTCGCAGGGTCCCCCTTCCCCCAACCCCCTCCTGCAATCCAACCCTCCTTGACCGCCGCCCGCCTCAGGGTCCCCCGCGCCAGGGTCCCCCGTTTAGCGCCCCCCACAGTCTTCCCCGCTCGCCCGAACCCACGCGCAGTCGACCGAACCGCCAAAAACGCACCGCGGGCCCGCGCGTTAAACTGCGTTTAACGCCGATCAAACGTGTTAAAACGCGTTGAATCGCGTTAAACGCCGTTGAATTAAAACTTCAACGGCGTCTTTCGAGACCGCGCGTGCCGGTTTGCAGCCATCGCCGCGCACTTCGCTGCTCCGCCTTCGTCGAGTCGACGCCGCCGCTCCGGTGTGCTCCACGGAATCTCTCTCTCTCTCTCTCTCTCTCTCTCTCTCTCTCTCTCTCTCTCTCTCTCTCTCTCTCTCTCTCTCTCTCT